AAAGCAGACCCAAGAAAAAGGGAACATTCTGAGTGTTTTCTCATACTGCATTCCAAATAGTAATGTCCTGAAGAGAAATTACTCCATGTAACCTGTGTGGAATATGTTGCTCTCAAGATGTTTGTTTGTTACCTTGTTTGTTTCTGTCTACATTGCCTTTCCTCTAGGCAGTGCACCTGTAATAGGCTGAGAGACACATGACTTGTCCAGGCTCACCCAGTAAGTTTCATGGATCCGTTGGGATCTGAACTTCGATTTCCCTTATTCTAGCTTGTATTCAGCTAACAAACAGATGGCTGCACTGTAGTCAGAGTGTGAAGAGCATATGCCAATATCACAGGTGTTCATCTGGTAGCCTTATATTGCTTCCTTGCCAATTCATCCAAGATTTCAAGTTATTTCTTTAAGGCCAACTGGACAAAACTCATTTGCTTTGTGTTGATTTGGACTATTTGGATGATATCTCTGGAATGCACATTTAGGTGCGATGATAAAAGCTTGGGACAAAATAATAAAGAAGTCCATTGCTTCCTTGCCTTTAGGATTCATTTAAATCTATAAAATGAGAACTACTTGGTTTTTGGCAGTATTTCATGATGGAGATCTCAGATATTAAGAGGCTGAGAAAGGGTTTCTGTTTTCAGAGAGGGGGAAACAGGCATGTCCAGATTTGGAAGTATCCACTGATTCAGTTATCCAAGATCTGTAAATATTAAATTAATTAAAATAAAATATATTATTAAATGGGAAGGTAGCTGAACTGGTCTCTAGAGGGAGTCAGAGAACATTGCTATATAGCATGTTTGCTAGAGAAATATATTTCCATAATGGCATTACCAGAACTGGCCCCTACAGGGAGCCAGAGACCATGCTATGTAAAGCATTTGCTATTAAACTAGTGTTTGCTATAATTTGTGTTTTTCAGCATCACAAGGAAGGGGCTTGGAACTGATCCCCCACAGATATGGGGGTCCTACTGTAATAGCATCAGGAAACATTATTTAGTTAGGCTGAACTAAAGCCACTTGTGACCCAAGATGCCTTTGCAGTATTATTATGAATTCTGCTTGGATCCAATGTGACCAGTTCACATATCCATAGACAACAGAAAGAGAAGAGAAGAAGAGAACAGAAGAGAAGAGAAAACTCCCTGGAAAAGACCCTGATGTTGGGAAAGTGTGAAGGCAAGAGGAGAAGGAGAAGACAGAGGACGAGATGGATGGACAGTGTCATCAAAGCTACCAACATGAAATCTGACCAAACTCTAGGAGGCAGTGGAAGACAGAAGGGCCTGGAGTCCTCTGGTCCATGGGGTCACGAAGAGTCAGACACGACTTAACGACTAAACAACAACAGACAACAGAAAAATGCATGAAAATCTGCTGGCAATTTTCGGTGGCTTATTTAAAATACTGTTTCATCCCATAGTTTGAACTGTCACACATCTCCCTAAAGTTTGCACTGTTCTGCACCATTTAGGTTTTGTTCCCTAACTTCTCACATAAAATGAAACAGGAAAGCAAATAATGTAGGTGAACAAAGAAACCTTTGTATCAATAGGCCAATCTATACAGCTTGAGGTACCACGTTTATATTTTTGATCTGATGGGAATGTAGAGTTCTCATTTATTTTGAGAGTTTCCAGTTCCCCTGGAAATAAGCAAGAGAAATCTCCAATGATTGTTTATACTCTTCTGATTGGCATATCAGTTCCCAAGAGCTGGATTCTGTCCCCTTGTTTCACCCTCGTTAGTAAATACGACAAATAGGAAAGCCGCTTTTCATTAGTGCTTGACATTCTTTTATGTGGTTCGATTGTCAACACAAAGGGAGAGTAATTAGACTGCAGCTCCAGTCCAGGCTAACAGATGGGGTTCTCCCTCCAAGCTCTTGCCACAAAACAGAATTTTTACTTTAAGAAATCATTGTCTGATCTATTCACTTCAAAGAGCATACACATACTCCCCACTTTTCAAGCTCTTGGGGTGCTGGGGAACGAAATTATCTCTCTCATTGGCAATGGAATGGGGAAAAGACAGCTGAACCAAAATGTTTATGCTTTTCATTTGAATAGGAGAAAATTCCTATTTAAATTAAACAACGAAGGGAGAGAGAGAGAGAGAGAGAGAGAGAGAGCAAGAGCTTCTCTTAGATGCATTTTGTACAGAATTATATTGAAAAGAAACAGAGCTAAATTATGTTGTGTTACATTGGGAAGAGATTTTTAAAAACTAAACATTTGGAATAACTGCTGTCACTCCAGATCATGCTGAATGATCTATTTAGCACATTGTTAGAAGAGATACTCATTTTAACAACAGTGAAACAGTGGTGAAAGACATTTGTCTGTTATAATTTTTCCTCATCTTCATTTTATTGAGTGATGGTCATTGAAAGGCAAATATGAGTTTGATTTGCTAGGGTGATGACTAAGGTACATTATTAGGTATTTATATATAGTTTGACCCTCAAGGGCAGTCATATTGCGCATTTGTGCATATACCTGAGATAGTTCATGTGCACAGAAAATCCCTTACTGCTGTTTCTTGGATATCTCTTGATCAGAAAAATCCCTTTGGAAATTTGGCTTGACAAATTCATGACAAATTTATGATGAATTGGTCACACTGTTTTTAGACATGCCATTTAGGCAAATCCAGAATACCACCACTCAGTAACACTGGGACTCTTCGTATGATGTCACTGAAGGAAGCCTCTAACATACCTTTCACCATAGCTTTTGGTTCCGAAAACAGAGTTCTGAATTATCTTATAACAACACTTCCAGATCTGTTACAGTCCCTGAAAGTAAGAAGTGTAGCTTCTATTTCTAGGGGAGGGGAAATATATTAAAATGGCAGTTTTCTTCTCAGATCTTCACTGCTGGATTAAATCTAACTGCTCGGCCCAATTAGAGTAGATCAACTGGCTGAAATCCACTACTAAGTTGCAACTAGAGTAGCCCCAATGATCTGTGGGGATTTTATGAGTCAAATCCTCAATTTATTCAAGTTTCATTGATTCAGTGGGCCTACTCTAGTTGCAACTTACTACTCGATGTCAGCCATTGAATCAGGGAGTCCAAATTTTTGTGAAGTTCATTAGTTAATAACTACCAAATGAATTCAGGACACTTTTTCTATAGTGTTGCCCAAAAAGCTGTTTATGAGCTCATGGCTGCTGTATTGTAGCCAAAACTCTGCTCATGGCCCGGATTCAATCACAGGTAGTTAGTTCAAAGTTTGTCAAAACTCTGCTCATGGCCCAGATTCAATCACAGGTAGTCAGTTCAAAGTTTGCTCAGCCTTCCATCTTTCTGAGGTTGGTAAATGGAGTACTCGGCTTGTATGTGGGTAGGGGTTAATGTGTTGCCCGTATAATTTAAATTGTAATCTGTCTGGAGAGTAAGCCCTACGGGGTGATATATAAGCAGCACACTTTTGTTTTATGCTTTAAGATCATGGCAGGGGCTTGGCTAGGAGCTTGATGTTGAATTAAGAGAGCTAGGGTCACGAAGAGTCGGACACGACTAAACGACTACACACACAGGGTCTAGCCTGAGAATACCCCCTCCACAGGTCAATGTCTGCCACAAAGTGTCTGTGGCTGGCCCAATTATTTTGTCATCCCCTGGAGCAGAGTATCTCAGAGGTACATCTCCCAAGTCTCATGTCATCTGAACTGCTGTGGCATCATCTTCGACAAATCCTTGGAATGAAATGACAACCCTACACAATGAGCTCACACTTTGTAACACCCCCAGTCTGCTTCCTCCGCCCGCCGCTTTGCTGCATCACATCTTCTTAAAAACACCCACACCTTTCTTTAAAAACAAAAAACAAAAAAACACCAATTTATCATATGAAAATGGTGTGGCTGAGGACACAGAGAGGGGGAAATATTGCTTTTTAGCTTATTTGAGCAAATGAAATCAAACTCTCTGCTCTGGCTGACATTATTTACCTCAGCTAAAACGTTGCAGATATCTGGGACTATATTTTTCCTCAGCTCGGAAGACACTGCTGTGCGTAACCGTGCACATCTAAACCTAAATGTGAAAAGCTGCCTCTCTGGAATGAGAGATCTCAGTACAGTCTCGTGATTCTTCCCCCCCCCCACTAGTGGGAATGCTAGTGAAGAGATGGCCTATTGCACCACCTAATGGATGAAAGAAAGCTGGCAAAATATAAACAGAAGCATCAGCCTGTTTAGTCCATGAATGACTCTGAAGGGCTGACTGCAGCCCAGTCTGCTCCTCCTCCTCCCCCCTCCTTCTGCCTCCACTCCTCTCTGCCCTTTTGGATTCATTTGAGAGCAAACTTGTGGAGCAGCCAGAGATGTGACACCAGGGGCAAAGGGAAAAAAAAACCCACTCCTGCAATTCTTGGATATTCTCATCTGGAAAAGGCAGGTCTCAGATATTCCATTTTAGAAGGGGGGAAAAAGAGCCCTCCAGTTTTTAAAAGACAGATAAAGCAACTAAATGTAAGATTTATATGCTTCCAGGAAAAAGCATGCTTGGGAAAGGTTTGATTTATATATAGGGAGACGGATGTATATGAATGTATGTGTTTGGCATTTTATTTTACCTCTTCCTCCCTCCCTCCCTCTCTCTTTTCCTCTCTACCTGTGTGTTAATTATGTATATGTCTGTGTATTTATGTGTATACCTGTGATGGTATATATTTGTGTAGGTGTCTCATGGATCTAGCTGTGCAGGAGTGGGAGTAAACAAGGCAGCCCAAAAGGAGTGAGAGAGTCCGTGAGCACTGGTTCATTGTTGCTTTAAAGTGATCTGGAACAACCCACTGAAATGAATGAAATGCTCCTGAGACTGAATGAATGCCTTGTTAGAAATCAGAGTGCTGAAGGAAGATGAGAGAGATTCAGTGTGAATTCTGGTGGAACTCCTTGACTACTTTTTCTTCTTTTCTCCTTCAGGGCGATTACCATAGGCACTCCTGGAACTAAGGAACCAAGTAACTAAGGACTAAAGGGAAAAAAAAACCACTTTTAACTCTCTTTGCCTGCTCCATTCACAAACCCAAGTGCAGGATGCAAACCGAAAAGGAGTGAAGAGAATTAAAGAGTGATGATGATGATGATGATGATGAGGCAGAAAACCAAATGGGAATAAAGGGGCGTTGCAGAAGAAGGAAAGAAGAACTGAAAGGCCTGGACCCAGCAAGAGGGAGGCACTAAAGGCGTCTCTCTTCTCAGAGTGACCCAGCAAGAGGCAGTGGATGGAAAGGAACCAGCCATGGATCCTCTGTGTTTGTTGGGGAACGATCGGTGGACTTATAACTGCTCCTTGAACAATGACACCATGGAGAACCAAACTTCTCAAACTAACAGAAGCTTTCCCATTAAAAGGAATGAGGATGTTGCTAAGGTGGAGGTGGCGGTGCTTTGCCTCATCTTCTTCCTAGCCCTGACTGGGAACTTGTGTGTTCTTATGGCCATCTACACGACCCGTCACAAGCATTCGCGCATGTACTTCTTTATGAAGCACCTGAGCATCGCTGACCTGGTCGTGGCCATCTTCCAGGTTTTGCCTCAGCTCATTTGGGACATCACCTTCAGGTTCTACGGGCCAGATTACCTCTGCAGGTTGATCAAATACCTACAAGTGGTGGGAATGTTTGCTTCTACCTATATGCTATTGCTGATGTCCCTGGATCGGTGTTTGGCCATTTGTCAACCCTTGCGGTCTCTGCACAGGAGGTCTGACCGGTTGTCTGTCCTCCTCACTTGGATGGTATGCCTTCTCTTCAGCATCCCACAGCTCCAGATCTTTTCCTTGAGGTACGCAGATCACGGACAGATTGATTGCTGGGCAAATTTCATTCAGCCCTGGGGCCCCAAGGCCTACGTCACCTGGATAACCTTGACTGTCTACATCATCCCTGTACTTGTGCTGAGTGTCTGTTATGGCTTGATCAGCTTCAAAATTTGGCAGAATGTGAGGCTAAAAACAGTCCATGAGACCAATGTGAATCTGACCTCTAGCAATTGCCATGGGGGCGCACTCTCCAGGGTCAGCAGTATCAAACTTATTTCCAAGGCCAAGATCCGGACAGTCAAAATGACCTTCATCATAGTCTTAGCCTTCATTATGTGCTGGACTCCTTTTTTCATTGTTCAGATGTGGATTGTTTGGGATGAAAATGCTCCAAAAGAAGGTACAGTTTCTTTCCTCTTCCTCCTTTCCTATGTCCGTCTGTCTGTCTGTACATACTTCATGCAATACTGTAGTTGAAAGAAATCCCACTCAATAATATTGTAGATAGACGTTCCAATGTAGGGTCACAAGATTTAAATCTACAGTATTCCATCCTCAAGTGACTTAACAGGTATTTGTGGGGGGAAAGAGGCAGTAGTGGCAGGATCAAAATGTAAGGGAAACACCAATTCATTGGAAACAGAACAGAGAAACTATGAGGACAGGATATGACTTGGGCAATATTTACAGGACCTTAGACAAGTTACCGGTAATCACTGTTCCTGACTCTCATGCCTGAAAATGAGAGACATGGACATTTTAGAAATGAGAAAATGGGGTGGGAGGTAAGAAACCAGAAACCAGAAAGTCCTCATTAGAGACATCTGCCTGCAGTGTATTGTTGACATAGCCATGTAACATGAACATCAGATCCACAGTTTAAGATAAAAAAAGAAATGGCATTCCACAGTTTCTAAGTTTTAGGACTTTACCTGGGGCGGGGAATCTTTACAGGAATCTTGTGAATGGTTGAATAGGTTGTCATTGGTGATGAACTTAAAGCTGAACAGAGGGCCAGTGCAGAAGTGTTCTCCTTGTCTGGAGCTGAGGTTGCCCTTCAGCTATGATGAAATTATAGCAAGGGGTTCCTTTCATGAGCAGTATCACAGCTTTTGTTCTGTTTTTTTTTCTGCTTGTAAACCCTCTCTCCCATTTGCTGATGGGGGCATAGCCGACCTCCCGGCAAATGTATAAGTTGCCACTTACCAATTAGCAGGAGGTTGTCCTCTCCAGCCTTTGCTTTGATGAAGTGGACTCCGGTCCATGAAAGCTTATATATAGTAAGACATTTGTCAGACTTTAAAGTGCTTCAAGACTCCTTTTTGTGTTATGTGTTCAGAGACTGGGAGTTGCAACTTGTCACTTACTGTACATACTAGTGCCAATTGCTAATGGATGCATTAGTAAGAACTTTGGTTAATCTCATTCCTGTGATATCTGTAACACTCAGTTCCTGATTAGAGCAATGAGGACAGGCAGTATTTGAAGTGGGAAGCCTTTTTCTCTATCATATCAAAGTGGACTGAAGTCACCATTTTGAAGATCATCTGGCCATCAGCTGTGCCCCCAACTGACCCACCCTTCTACAAGAAGCTACTCTGGTCCGTTGGCTGGCTCAGATCTTTGCTCTTCGCTGGATGCCTTTAACATTAAACAATCACTTACATATGGTTAGATGGACAGTCAAAGACTGAATGCCATAAACAGAACTGTTGTGCGTCTTTTGGTCAATTCCCTCCCCCGCCCCCTTATGTACACATACCTGGGGCGGGCAACTTTAATAAACTCTGAAGACCAGGGGTTGAAAGAATATTTTTTTCAACATAGTCTTCAGGAGCTGTAGTTAGCATGTGCCTATGTTACCTACAGAGAGTGCACTCTGTGTAAAATCCCAAAGAGAGAAATAACATAAGAGTGTGGGCAGTGTCTCCCCCTCCTAACACTAGGAAATAATTCTGTCATTCCTGCAAGTGAAACTGCTGGTTAGTTGATCGTCTCTGTATTCAGATAGTCTAGGTAGATTATTTTAAGCCTTTGTCACTATGACACCTGCAATTAGAAAAGTCTGTAGTCCTGTAAATGGTCAGCCACTAACATTCAAAGATGGTGGGATGCAGAGTGACCCTATCATAAGGAACAGTGAAGTGGCCATGAAACATGAAAAGGCAGTAATCATCCGAGGACTGATTTATTTTACTACAAGGGATGGGGAGAGATGCTCAATGGGCTTTCTGCTTTACTAAATTAGTGTGGTTGGCTTGTGGATAACCATGCACTTTGCTTTGGATGGGTTGTTGGGAAGATCTTTTGGTGCTCTGCCTCAGACAGCCAGATATCCTGGGCTAGCCCAACTGGGATGGACCACCAGGTCAACCTCTCCCCACACCCTTATTATCCCTCTTCCTCTCATAAAGTAAAATCAGTGTACTACAAGTTTCAGTGGAGAAACTGTGGGAAGGACTGCTTATCATTTCCCAAACTGTCTTACTCCATGTGGGAGAGATAAAATACTTGTGTGATTCCTTATTTGAACTGGAAGCCAAAGCACTGCAATAATTAGAATGTTGGACTTGGGTGTCACAAACTACAAATCCAGTTTCTGCCTAATAAGACGTTCATTAAGTGGTTACTGCTGGTGTACTGGACCCATGCACGACAGAGTTGAGGTCCCAGGACTTTCTGAGTAACAGAGACTATCATATCACCTGCCACCCATCTTGGGTTGCTCTGTCCCCTGTGAGAATAGCTGCAATTCTCACTATAGAGAGAAATGGATTTTTGTGGAGCCAGATTTTTTCAAGGTATCCCTGTCAAAGAGTCAATGTGGTATAGTGGGTAGAGTGTCAGACTGGGACTTAGGAAATCTGGGTTCAAATCATTTTTTGATCATGAAAACTCACTAGGGGTGAGAACATCTCACATACCTCCAAACCTTTATTAGGCTCAGAAGTTAAATGACTTGAAGACATATTGCATCTCTGTTGTAATGCAAAGTAACTGAGTTCAACTTTGTCTCCATTGGCTGTTACGAGCCATTAGCTTTATAAAATACTTTGTCCTCATTTGTTGAAATGGACGAAGTCAGCTGCTTGCATATTTGGATTTTTCTAAAGGAAGGGTGGTGGCTATGGTGATGATCTGCACATTTACCACCACCGCTACATCACTCATGGAGACATCTTGGCTGCATGCCATTCATTCAGTTCAGTGTAACTCCCTATGCTGTTATGAGCATAAAATTTGGATGCCTCCATATATAGAATGCAGACTGCAAGAATGGATGACATCAATGTCATGAAGGAAATACTGATGACTGATATTGATGCCTTGTGATACATTGTCTTTCCTGCTATCTACTTCCAGAAATTGGTTTAGGAATGCAGCAGATGTTATGTCTGCTTCTAATGGTCAAAAAACACTGGTAGCTGTATGCAGGCCCATTAAGTTCAGTAGCTGTGGCTATTCCTTCACCGAAATGTTTGCAAGAGACAATGTAAAGTGAATTTTTTGAGTGGGCTGGCCATGGGGTAGCTTGACATGAGCAAGCTGTGTTTCCACCGCACATCAAGCCACACTTGGGCACACCTTTGTCTGACATTTACAAACCAGTTAGGTGTATACCTGATGGATTTGCATGTCCTCAGGCATAATTAGCTAATGTCATAATTTCTGGGAATCAAATATTCCTCCCTGTTTACAGCAATCAGGAAATATTTCCTATTTGTTTCAGGGTAAACATCTCAGGAAAACTGAGAGGTTTTATTATTATTATTA